AAATGTCTACGGGAAAATGGGAAAGTAGAATTCGACATCTGCCATGTTAATGTAAAGATTCCAAAGAAAAGGCTGTATTTAGGACAATGAATGATTACTGTTTAATTATGCATAGAAATCTAAAAATAAGTGAATGAGTATATACATTGGAAAGAGTGACGGAATTAAAGTACGATTTCTGCAAAGTGAAATAGAACAAGTAATCTGGATATTATAGGCCAAAAGCAACATAAAACATCTAACTTTTTTGATATAGTAGAAAAATCAACAGTAATCTGAAATTCTCTGTTCCTTTGCAATATTAACAAACTTTATTTTATTGCTGGATATTTATTCTCTCTGCCAGATTTCTAAAATGAACTGGATATATTACTGACTTTTCTAGCTTTATTTCCCCTGCTACTATTATTTTATGTATTACTCTGTGGGCATCTTACTTATTTTCTTGCCTACAGGGAATAATTTAACCTAAATATTAACATTAGTCATTTGAGTATAGTATTTCACGGACATTTTTATCCCTCCATCTTTTAAAGATCATCCATTACTTTTATTCTGTTCCCTGTGTTGACGTTTTTCATGCTGTTTGCAATAATTTTCAGTTGGAAAAAAGTTTAAATGCATACAGTGACACTTCCATGAAATGGAATTTTCAGACATTTGTTTCTTGGATCTGTTGCTACGATTTTAAAATAGGAATGTTATACCCAGGAAAATATGCAATGTGGGAGCAGGACATATTTTACCACTGTGGGTATGTTCACATTTCCAAAAATATTTTTGTTTATCTTTTTAAAGTTTGACAAGAAAATATTTGTGCATTCAAAATTTTTTTCCTAGTTATTGAGTTGTTTTTTCTCATTGTTCCTTGATGTCAGCTCACCTAAGTATATGATTTCAGTATGTTTTCTGTTTGGACTCCTGAGAGATGGCAACGTCAAGCAGGTTTATTTAGTCATGTGATGAACAGAACTGCAGGAAGCAAGCAAAGGCTGTTAGCAGAAGCCAGGAGGAGATCTTTAAAAGCATGATGAGCTATGTTACACACACCAAGGGCACAAATAAATTGCATTTTGCACCATCCTCAGAGATATTGCTGGTAGGTGGTAGAGTGTTGAGTCAGAGCGTTTGTCGAGGATCAATGCAGCAGCAGCAGCATGGAGGTGAGAGAACCGAGGATGCCGGGAGCCACCTGGTCCCCACGACTGACAGAGCAGGACCACCGCCCCCAGCCTCAAGCTGTTCCTGCAGCTTGGAAACTATCGCAAAAGCTGGCCCAGAGTATGAGAATTTTTTAAAAGCTGAAGGGAGACAGTCCCTTTAGTGCATGGATATTCCAGTCATTAGATCCAAAGACAAGCTCTGCTTCTATTTCAAAAAAAATACCAGATAGCTGCAGGGTTAGCTCTCCCCGCAATGGCTGTTCACATTGATTTGCTTCATGGATTGATTGCTTTTGGCATTTGCAACCCTCCTGAATAACAGAGGAAAAAAATCCAGTGGCTGGGCCAAATTCACAAATGATGAATGAACAGGGAAGACATTTGGTGTCACATTGACTTGCAATGGATAACAGCATTTAAAAGTAATAACAGCTGGATTCAAGTTTTGAAAATTAGGACTGTATTATTAATGGGGGAATTGGGACACTGGAAGTCTGAGAGGGAGATTAAAAGCTTATTTGAAATGAATGGGCTTTATGCTGTACCTTGGGATGGCAGCCACCAGGCGGACATGACACAGGGACAACATGGCTCTGGGCCCTCGTCAGACGACTTTTACTCAGCTGGATTCAGTGTTAGACCTTAGTGTGCAACGAAGACACTCTAACAAGGAGTGGCACAAAACCTCTTTTGTATTTATTGTGGGGATTTTATAAAGTGTATTGTCCAATAAATCTCATACTGTCTTCTTCATGAAGATTTCCAGAAGAAATTCCTCACACGCCTTAAAGACAGGAAAAGCTATGTTCTCCAGAGAAATGATGCTGCTCCCCTTCATAGACACTGAATCTTGTGATTGCCAGAGTTTCTCTCCTGCCTTGGCCCCAGTGAAGCAAGCGACTGGGTTTAAGATTAGAATGGGACCTTCTGTACACAGTAGTTTTATAGAATCAGTTATTGAACTGATATTCAATACTTTTATTCCTAGCTTCACTTTTCTTTCTTACCCTTATTTTTCTTTTTCTCCTATTATTGGCATTTTCTCAGTAAGAAGGAAGTCAGTACACATTTAGTGATAAATTATCATTTAAAATTTTGCCCAAATGGCAAAATAGTTATAAAATAAAATATCCTTAATTTTAAAGAAATGCAAAACAAAGTATGGATGGGAGTGAAATGATAGGCAATTTGCTTTAAAATATCTCAACAACCAAAGGGGTAGATAGGGCAAAAAGGGAAACATTTTGAAAATCGAATATAGGTGGGATTTATAAAAGCACCCTTTCGATTTCTGTGTATGTATGTTTAGGAATTTTAATTAGAAAATGTTGTCTATTTGGATCAAATTTCTGATATGAGGAAGGCCAAGTTTCTTGTCAACTTGATAGTTATCTCCATCAGAAAATGTCGACTAATTGTTCATATTTTCTTCTAAAATTGGTTTAACTGTTTTGTTTTTCTCCGCCAGCCTTGTCAGTTGAAGCCTCAAGTCATTAAATCTAAGACAGAATGAAGGCAGCAAATCTATACTCCAAGGCTACATAAAGTGTGCTAATCCATAGGTAGAAACACTCACATGTGCTTAGAAGCTCTGCTTTCCTCCTTGATAACCCAAATTCTCACTTATGAACTTCTATTACTTCAGCTTTAGACTCGGGAATTTACTATCTGAAGACTCATATAGTGCTGATCTACCCTAACTTGCAAACTTGCATGTATGTTTCATACTTACACTCTTCATATTTCAGTGGTGTTATTGAGTTTGGTTACTTTCTCTATCTGTGTGGTTTAATCACCAGTTTATTCACCCCTATATAAAACGTAAGATTTGAGAAAAGAACTGGAATTTAAGGCCAGGCACGTGGCTCATGCCTGTAATACCAGCATTTTGGGAGGCTGAGTTGGGCAGATCACGAGGTCAGTTCAAGACCAGCCTGGCCAACATGGTGAAACCCCATTTCTCCTAAAAATACAAAAATTAGCCAGGTATGGTGGTAGGAGCCTATAATCCCAGCTACTCCAGAGGCTGAGCCAGGAGAATCACTTGAACCCAGGACGTGGAGGTTGCAGTGAGCTGAGATTGTGCCATTACACTCCAGCCTAAGTGACAGAGCAAGACTCCATCTCAAAAACAAAAACAAAAAAACTGAAATTTAAATGAGTGTTAGGAAAGAATGTGTCTTGGTTAGAATATAAGAGTCTGAAAAGTCTGCTGTGGGGGCTAAGCTGCCCACTAAGGGAAATGGGGATGCTAAGAGAAATCTGTCATATGTCTTCAGAGCATTGTCTGGCAACTGATTAAAACAAAGGAAGAGTGAAACAACATCTGCTTTCTCTCCACGTCACACTGATAAAATGGTTGAATAAATGCATTTTGCTTATGGCCATGAAGAACACAGGGGACTTCATCTTTCCAAATGTTTTCATGCAATGCTCAAGGCTAACTCTTTGGTCCTGATGTTTTATGTTTTAGCACCTGCTGGATCAAGAAGCACCTGCAATGATCATTTCTCAAAAATGTCTGAAACTATTCTGACTATGAACCTTGATCACAATTCAAACCCTTAGGCTACTAAAAACAGAATATTCTGATTGTTTTCAGCATTAACCACTAATTTTTGTTTTGTATTTCCACATTCTCTATTCTGGGTGAACTTTTTAAACAGAGTCTGAAAGTGCTGTTCTTATTATGACCTACAGTGGTACTATTTCACTTAAAAACCAGTGCTATGCACATTGTTGGTTAACAAGCTTTGAAGAATTATTAGGATGAACCAAACAAACTGCCACAAATGGTCAAATATTGAAATTTTTATATGCTTCAGCTCATAATGATCTCTTTTTTTTTTTTTTTTGGAGACAAGAGTTTCACTCTTGTTACCCAGGCTGGAGTGCGATGGCATGATCTCGTCTCACCGCAACCTCCGCCTCCTGGGTTCAGGCAATTCTCCTGCCTCAGCCTCCTGAGCAGCTGGGATTACAGGCACAAGCCACCATGCCCAGCTAATTTTTTGTATTTTTAGTAGAGATTGGGTTTCACCACGTTGACCAGGATGGTCTCGATCTCTTGACCTCGTGATTCACCCACCTTGGCTTCCCAAAGTGTTGGGATTACAGGCGTAAGCCACTGCGCCCGGCCCATAATGATCTCTTTCACACACATTCTCTTTACTATTTGTTCATAATTTTATTTTTTATACTACTTAATGGGCACATGCTGATTTCCTGTATGTCATCAACACTCCTGAGCCATGAGGGTAAGATCAGAGCTGCAAGACCCAGACACGTACTTTGTCACCTGCCAAGTGAAAGACAATGAATGGAGTTCCCTAAATTTTTCAGTGAACTTTTTGGTGTCTATGTAGCCTAATTTTATTCCCTCTCTTTGTGTTTTAGAAAGATCTAATACCCACATAGAATACCAAGGCTATTAAACCATAAGAAAATTACCTACCTCAAAGCTTAAGTTCCTGTTATCATAGGCCTCATTTCTCAAATTTGCGTAAACGTACATGTGATGGAAAACCAGAAGATGCTTGGTAAACATGGTCAGTTTTACTCAATGATGAATGGTTTCAGTCATCATTTTTTGTATTAAAGGAAACATAACTACACTATGGAGTAAAATGCAAATACTACATGGATTTTTAAGATAAAATCTGACACTTGAAACGCAGTTTCTGCATTTAGGACTATTGCCAGCGCTAGAACCATGGGATGAAGTTTTACTCCTGCCGGTAGAGGAACTTTAGTGGAACGTTTGAGAACCTGAGCCCTGAGAGTGGAAAATGCATAGAAGTGACAGAAAAGTCGAAAACACTGAGAACTACACAGTAAAATTAGCACATAGTAGGATTTATTATCCTTTGTTGAGTGAGTGAATGTATATGATGACGATAATGATGATGACCATGATAATTTTTTTTTAAAGCTAATATTTTTGGCGTTCTTACAACGGGTCTAAGTATTAGTGCATAAGTATTCCAGGGATTGGCAAACTACATCCTGCAGGCCAAATTCAGCCCACTGCCTGTTTTTGTAAGGCTTTATTGGAACATAGCCACACCAAGTTATTCAGGTATTATCTATGGTTGCTCCCATTCTATTTAATACAAGGGCATACTTGAGTAGTTGCCACAGAGACTACATAGTCCACAAAGCCTAAACTATTTATTATCTGGTTCTTTACAGAAAAAATTTACCAATCCTTGTATTAATGCATTAATTCTCATAACAAGCTTATAAGGGAAATTCTAATATTGATGTCATCCTACTGATGAGAAAACTAAGGCACAGAAAGGTTATTTAACTTACTCAAGGCAGTAGAACAAGTAAGTGGCAGGGCAGAACTTGAATCCATCAGTCTGGTTCTAGACCCCACATATCTGAAACAACTCACTGTAGAGATCCTTCTAGATAAGAGAAAATGTATTCAAGGTCACTCCAAAAAGATAGGTTCTAAGTTGACAGCCTCCTAGCTGGCTTATAAACAACTTATATCTATTTCTTCTGATCTGGAGGCTGGAAGTCCGAGTTCAAGGTATTAGATGGTTTGAATGTTTGTCCCCTGCAAATCTATGTTGAACAGTGATCCCAATGTTGGAAGTGGGGCCTGGTGGGAGGTGACTGGATCATGGAAGTGAAACTATCAGGAATGGTTTAGCACCATCCCCTTGGTAGAAAATGAGTTCTCGCTGTTAGTTCATGTGAGATCTGGCTGTTTAAAAGAGTCTGGGACCTCTCTCTCTGCAGCTCCCACTCTCAGACGTGAGAACACTGGCTCCCTCTTTGCCTTCTGCCATGATTGTAAGCTTCCTGAGTTCCTTACCAGAAGCAGATGCCAGCACCATGCATCCGTACAGCCTGCAGAACTGTGAGCCAATTAAACTTATTTTCTTTTTAAATCACTTAGCCTCAGGTATTTCTTTATAGCAATGTAAAAATAGACTCACACAGGGTACTAGCAAGGTTGTGTTCTGGTGAGGGCTTTCTTCTAGGCTGCAGACTGCTGTCTTCTCATTAAATCCTCACCTGGCAGAAGGAGAACCAGAGAGCTAACTGGGGTTACTTTAGGGCACTAGTCCCTTTCATGAGGGCTCCATCCTCATGATCTAATCACTTTCCAAAGGCCTCACCTCCTAATACCATCACATTTGAAGATAGGATTTGAACATATAAGTTTTGGGGGAAATGTAAGCATTCAGTTCATTGTAGTGTCTAAGAACATCATAGCCCCACCCACTTGATGCCCACTCCCCATGTGCCAGTAGGAAGTTCAAAGAATTCTGAAATGTCTAAACAGAACCCTTAAAAAAAATGAAAAACCATTAAACCATTAAAACTATTGCTCTAGCCAAAGCTGTCTCTTCCTGAATATGGTTTACAAATTCCAATTCCATGTTTGCTCATTCCCTAAGTTGTTGTTTTCTACTCTTTGCCCTTCCAATACCCACAGTGAAAGTGGAAGGAAATTCAGATATTATCTGGAATAATGTTAATAATGCTGGGGTGTGTCAGGTTTACACTGGGATGATCATGAAAATGCCCATCTTTTACTTCGTATTCAAGATTCCTAGAAAGCAAAGGTTATGACTACTTAGTGAATTTCTTAAGATCTTGCAATGTGCATGCAAATACATAATAAATACAACAAATGATCTTGCGTTCAGGCTCCTGTTAACTGGAATGTCCTATTGTTACTCCATGCTTCTATAATAATGGATCTCAGAAACTTGAGGTTGCTCCTTAATTATCCAAAACCTGTGTTCATTATAATTTTTTTAAGTCACAAATACACTTTTAACTGATCTCAGAAAACTACTCAAGGAAGGTCAGTAATCATTTCAGCACCTAATCTGTTTGAGTTCTGTGGTGAGCAGCCTTGAGGAGCTGGGTTAACTCGTTATTTTCCCTAATTCGCGTCTTCAGTATTGGAAAAAACAAGGCATTGTCTCAGCTTAGGATAAATGCATGGCTGGCAATCAAATCCAGTCTCTTACATTTCGTGTTTTTTTCTTTAGCTCTTCTACTTTGTTGACATAAGCTTTCATGGCATCTTCCTTGGTAGTCCCTTTCAGCTCATTCCAGGCATCCCACCTGGCCTTGCCCTTGAAGTCCAACATCCCAAGTATTTAGGTAGCCCACAGTTGCTTGTTTGTAGTGGCCATAGATGAACAGCATCTCATCATCCCCTGGCTTGGTCTTAAGGTGCTTAACATCTTCCACAGCTTTCTCAGACTCAGCCTGAGACATCCTGGCCAGCTTGCACGGACTCCAGGGAGCCCATGAAGGAGGAGAGGAGCAGGAAGCAATCATCACAGTTAAAAAATTAAATATATATACTCTAATTCTTTTAAAGATGCACTATAAATACGTATATATGGTACTATTTTCTTTTAAGCTGGTAACAGGTTCCTTAAAATTTGTTGATGGTTTTCTTTCTCTGATGATGGAGAGGTCAGCTTATCTTTGGAGCTGGCTTCTTTTCCAGGGCGGATGGGGGAATCCCAAAATAGTCCCCTGTGTGATATAAATGTAAAGGAAATAATTATCCATGTGAGTTGATAAGGAGAGATAATTGGATCTTTGTGGGATCTAGCCCCAGGGCTCTGGCCCTTTGAGTAGATGGAGTCTCATAGCCCTCCTCAAGTTAGTGTCCAATTTAGACTCCCACTCTCAAGGTCAGAGTTGTCAAATGGCCTAATGGGCCTCCAAAGCCCTGGTGGAGATGACCAGCAAAGACAATTAAATCCCAAGACAGTATTTGCGATAAGGGAGAAGAGCCTGCATTGACGACCCTAATTCAGTGTCAGGGCCTTAATCAGACAGAGGAAGCACTCATTCTGGACTTAGTGCACGGCTGATACTGAAACTTCCTTGGGTCAGTACCTCCAGCTCTGTGGCTGTATCCAGAAAAGAATGATTGAAGTTGTGATTAGATTAGATATGGCTGATTCCTAGAGGACTTGAAATCTAGGCTATATGTCTTCTGGAACACCCAATGGTTGATTCTGTGAAGAGGTAGTTCCCCAAGAAAAATACTGGTTATTTTACCAGCAAAAAAAGGCAAATGAATAGCAAAACAAAAACAACTGATACACCATAAATACTAAAAACAGTTTTCCCCCTTTATAAAAGGTAAGGAAATCCCTATGCCTTTCTCAAGTTCAAGAATGATTATAACCATGCTTCCATTTCCAAAAGAAGGAAACTGTACCCATAGTGACTATATAGAGAAAGAAACACAAGGCTGAGAGTCATAGCTGGGCTGACTGCCTGCGCACACCCAGCTGTTCTCTTAAAATTGCAAAGCCCATGGAAGTTCAAGGCTCTGTTGTTTTGGCCCAAATTACATATTTCAACACTTTTATTGTTTGCTTTTGATGTCTGAGTTAGTAATTTTAATGCAAAAAGGACCATCTGGGAAAAACATTTTTTTGTGTCTCATGTGGGTTCTTTATGGACGAGCAAAAATGCTCATTATTTAAGCAAAAATGTTTTTAATGTGGGGCTGCAAGGATGTTGTGAATAAGGAGTTACATCATTCTGCTATCCGCTTCTATACCCAGAAAAACAGAAACACACGACTTTGTATTCATGAGGAAAGGGTGGAGATCACTGCAAGCAATGTGTTTTAGAATTTGCCCCAAAAATTACTCTAGAATACATTCTTTGTTATTAAGCTTTGTTATAGCCTAAGGAAAAAAATGCTTCAGCAAACTTTTTCAAATGATCTTTCATAAAATTATATTTCTTAATATATTTTTAAATCAAGAAAGCCACAAATACAATATTAACTGGGAAAGGAAATTTTAAAAAAACAATTCTTGAAAATAACAGATTGGCATAATCAAATTAGGTGAGTTCTGGTGATTACTGAGAAATAAAACAACTGGATTCAATAAATCTTAAAGCACTTAACCATGTAATAAAGCACAGAGAGATAGAAGAAAATGTGTAAATTTGAAGTCTCATCTAATTTAAAGTCACAAAAATGAGACTCACACAAAATAGCCTTCCTGGGCAGAAATGAATACATCAACACTGCAGGCTATGACAGTGTAGTGCCTATTAACCCATTGTGGATAAACAATTAAAAAGCTTGATTACCAAATGTAAGATAATGTGAACTAGCACTCTTCAAAAGAGTCTGGGTATATCAGAGTACGTGCAAACTTGCCCTAAGAGACTTTAGTTGGGTGTGGAGTGGCTTTAGAGAATCCAGTTTCTTCAGTGAATTAAGGCAAGAACAGAAAACCAAATACCGCATGTTCTCACTTATAAGTGGGAGCTAAGCGTTGGATACTCATGGACATAAACATGGGAATAGGCACTGGAGACTACTAGGGGGTGGGGGGAGGGAGGCAAGAGGCCGAAAGTCTACCTTCCGGGTACTATGCCCACTGCTTGAGCGATGGGATCATTCACACCCTAAACCTCAGCATCACACAATATGCCCATGTAAAAAACTTGCACATGTACCTGAATCTAAAATAAAAGCTGAACTTATTAAATATATATTTTTAAGAATCCAACTTCTTACCCTCCATATGTTCTCTTTCCTAAACATACCTGCCTACAGGATATCCCTCTGGTGGTTCTCCTCTTATCTCTCACTACTATCATTTTCATCCCAATGGACCCAAGAACAAACCCGTTACTCTTCCAGAATCCAACCACATGCATTTTTCCAGGGTGAAAAACCTCTCATCAAACCAAAGGCTTTAAAATGTCAAAACTGAAATATGACATATTGACAGAAAAAAAGAAAAGAAATCATCAGTAAGAAATACTGAAGGCACAGGTGCATTATTTCATACAAGTGACAAATCTATAAAATAATTTTATTATCAAAGTTTTTGATCTATTTATCATAGAACTATAATATTTAACTGTGAAAACCATGCTAAGTAGTTCCAATTGGTTAAGATGTGTGTTCTCTCTGCATCTTTATGATTCTCAGTGATAATGAGCTTGGTGATTTGTATTATTAACCTGCATCATACCCTGTCTTTCAGTTGCATATTTGCATGGTTTCAAGGAAGAAGTGACAAAAATGTCCATGTTCACTTGTGTCAAGTTTTCCAAAAAGACCATTTGCAAGAAAAATCATCTCTGTTTTACTTAATAGAGACACAAATCTCCTGCTCGCTGTCACTCCCCAGTCATTTTGTTTATTCATCTAGTTGACATTGTTTTGTGATACATAGTTTATTTAATGGCAATCATCAATTCACTTTTTGTAAACTCTACAATTACTAGGGACTCAATACCTTCTCTTTTCTTTGCTGTTAATTCCCAGCAAAGTAAACTGCACTCTTTAAAATAAAGCATGTACTTAGTTATGGGTGTATGACACCCCTCTGCCGCCTGTAGAGAGGGGACTGGTTCATAGTGAATCCTAGGCTTCTGATGTCCCTTGCTCACTATCTGTAAGTAATAAGCCTGCTTCATGAACTTGTATGTGAGTGTTCTTTCTCACTGGACTCAAACAACTTGGTAACCAGTGCACAGTGAACCTGCTTCACACTATTGACTTAAAACAATCATTTAACTCTCACAGTTCTATTGTTCAGGAATTCAAGCAGTGCTCAAAAGGGAAAGCTCATTTCTGCAGCATGTACATTGGTTGGAGAATCCATGATAGTTTTATACATGTCATGTTTCTCAAATGTTTGACAGAAGTGACTGGGACCTGGCTGATCCTCTCTCTCTCTCTCCCTTCATAGGCTCTTATACTCTGGGGCCTCTTTTCCTGCACATGCTCTCTCTTTACATGGATTCTTTATGTAGCTTCTTGTTTCCTCTCTGAGCTAAAAAAGAAGCTGTACAACATTAGAATATCTGGGCTCAAAAATCCAAGAATACGACTTCTGCTGCATTAAACTTGTCAAAAATATCACAAGTTCTGTGCAGATTCAAGGTGTGGGTAAACACACGTACTCTCTTGGTCAGAGAACTGGCAAGTGCACAAATACATCTTACTGACCATAGTTACATACAATCTTCCACAGTCTGCTCTCTGGCTACAAAAATCCACATAAAGTCAACTGCTCCAAAGACCCCTGAAGTCTCAACAAATTGTATCAAATTCAATGCCCAGTATCTCTTGATCTGCAATTGGGATCATATGGATGTGCATGAAATTTCATACATGCAGCTCCTTTTGATATGAACTATGAAGCAAAAACGCAAGTTATCTGTACCTCCATGCCCAGCAATATAGTGTTAAGACAGAACAGAATAACCACATTAGACACTCATTTATAACATGGAGAAATGAAGGCACATAGTAGTCAGCACCCAATAGCAATTCTGTAATACAGCCAGGCTTATCTTATCAGTGTCCCCTAATCTGGAGGCAAGGAATGTTTCTTGATTTGGGTTCAGTTTTGCTATATAGAAATGATTAGCTAATTCATTGCTTCTAATAGCTTATATTTTTGTCTGCTGGGCTCTGGGCTCTACCCTCTGAATCATATTTCCTTTGTTACCAAGAAATTTTTCACGTTTGCCATCATGCAGCTGTCTTAGTCTACCTTTTGCAAAGCAAGTTGAGGGCTCAGAGAACAATGAAATGAAAAAATTACCTTTTTTCATTTTGCACCTTCCATGTACTTTTTAGTTTGAGCTGATATAAACCTTAAGAAATGTAATGTGCTTTCTGTGTATCAAAGTCTAAATCTGAAATCAAATAAATCAAATTATAAGTGAAAAAGTCACACATACAAATCTCTTCAAGACAAGCCCCTCTCTAATGCAGGCTTTGAGTCAGTGTTGTGGAACAATACTTTTAAAATTGTTACAAGCTGTTTTGTTTAGCTGAGAAGGTTGACAAGGCACTGAGTTAAATTAGGGTTCTTGTACTACACTGTTGATGTGATCTTTACGCTAAGGCTATGTCTTATTGACAATGTCCTGAATTCTATCTTTTTCCTGGGGCCCTTTCTCACTTTCAGAACATTTTTCTAACTCAAGAATGTGGAAAGAGAAAATATTTTATTTTACAACTTAGCAAGCCCTCGGTTGGAAATATTTTCTCTGAATTTGACTTGAAAATGGAATCATTCCTCTTTAGTCAATATCATTTTTGTAATGCCTTATAATATGTAAGTAATAAGAGGCTGTATTAGTTCATTTTCATGCTGCTATAAAGACATACTCAAGACGGGGCAATTTATAACAAAACAAAGAGGTTTAATGGACTTACAGTTCCATGTGGCTGGAGAGACCTCAAAATCATGGTGAAAGGTGAAAGGCATGACTCACATGACAGCAGACAAGAGAAGAGGGTGTATGCAGGGAAACTCCCATTTTCTAAAACCATCAGATCTCATGAGATATTCACTATCTAGAGAACAGCACAAGAAAGACCCACACTCATACTTCAATCACTTCCCACCAGGTTCCTCCCATGACGATGGGAATTGTGGGAGTTACAATCCAAGATGAGATTTTGGTAGGAACACAGCCAAAACATACCAACGTGTCCCTGGTCCCTCCCAAATCTCATTTCCTCACATTTCAAAATGAATCATGCCTTCCCAACAGTCCCCCAAAGTCTTAACTCATTGCAGCATTAACTCAAAAGTCCATAGTCCAAAGTTTCATCTAGGACAAAGCAAGTTCCTTCCACCTATGAGCCTGTAAAATCAAAAGCAAGTTAGTTTCTTTCTAGATACAATGGGGTACAGGCATTGGGTAAAAACAGCCATTCCAAATGAGACAAATTGGCCAAAACGAAGGGGCTATAGGCCCCATGCAAGTCTAAAATCTAGTGGGTCAGTCAAATCTTAAAGCTCCAAAATGATCTCCTTTGACTCCAGTCTCACATCCAGGTCACACTGATGCAAGAGGTAGGTTTCCATGGTCTTGGGAAGCTCCACCTCTGTGGCTTTGCAGGGTATAGTCCCCCTCCTGGCTGCCTTCATGCCTGGCATTGAGTGTCTGTGGTTTTTCTAGGTGCACGGTGCAAGCTGTGGGTGAATCTGGGGGATGGAAGATGGTGGCCCTCTTCTTACAGCTCAACTACACATTGCCACAGTCGGGACTCTGTGTGGGGGCTTCAACCACACATTTATCTTCCTCACTGCCCTAGCAGAGGTTCCCTCAGATCCCCACTCCTGCAGCAAACTTCTGCCTGAATATCTAGGTGTTTCCATACATCCTCTGAAATCTAGGCAGAGATTCCCAAACCCCAATTCTTGACTTCTGTGCATTGGCAGGCTCAACACCACATGGAAGCTGCCAGAACATGAGGCCTGCACCCTCGGAAGCCACAGCCTGAGCCATGGCCTAGGCTGCAATCAGCATGGGTACCTTGGGCCCCACCCATGAAACCACTTTTTCCTCCTAGCCCTCCAGGCCTCTGATGGAAGGGGCTGCCATGAAGACCTCTGACATGTCCTGGAGACATTTACCCCATTGTCTTGGGGATTAACATTCAGCTCCTAGTTACTTATGCAAATTTCTGCAGCCAGCTTGAATTTTCCCTCAGAAAATGGGGTTTTCTTTTCTATTGAATTGTCAGGCTACAAATGTTCTGAACTTTTATGCTCTGCTTCTCTTATAAAACTCAATGCTTTTAACAACACACAAGTCACCTTTTAAATGATGTGCTACTTAGAAATTTCTTCTGCCAGATACCCTAAATCATGTCTCTTAAGTTCAAAGTTTCATACCTCTCTAGGGCAGGGGCAAAATGCCACCAGTCTCTTTGCTAAAACATAATAAGAAACACCTTTGTTCCCATTCCTATAACAAGTTTCTTGTTTCCACCTGAGACCACCTCAGCAGGGACATTATTTTCCATGTTGCTATCAGCATTTTTGGCAAAGCTATTCAACAAGTCTCTAGAAAGTTCCAAATTTTCTCACATTTTCCTGTCTTCTTCTGAGCCTTCCAGACTGTTCCAACCTCTGCCTGTTACCCATTTCTAAAGTTGCTTTCACGTTTTTGGGTATCTTTTCAGCAGTGCCCCACTCTACTGGTACCAATTAGTCTGTTTTCATGCTGCTGATAAAGACATAACCAAGACTGGACAATTTACAACAAAATCCACATCCCGGGGCTTCCGCAGCGAGGTGGACATGTTTGTGGCCCAGGCCGTGCTACAGTTTCTCTGTTTAAAAAACAAAAGTAGCGCATCTGTGGTCTTCACGACGTACACCCAGAAGCACCCGTCCATCGAGGATGGCAGCCGCTGCTCAACTTCATGGAGCCGCTGCTCAACTTCATCTGGTTCCTGCGGCTGGCTGTGGATGGCGGAAAGCTAACGGTGTTCACCGTGCTATGTGAGCAGTACCAGCCATCCCTCCGGCGGGACCCTATGTACAACGAAGTACCTCGACTGCATAGGACAGCTGTTCTTCGGTGTCCCGCCCAAGCAGACATCTTCCTATGGAGGCCTGCTCAGCTTGCTGCGAGAGGGCAGGAACAGCTGCCGGAACCCTGCAGGTGGCCCTGTTGCCTGCATTTAGCCGGCGCTGCAGCATCCACCCCTACCTGCCCCAGGACGTTACAGTGGAGTCACCGTGCATCACTGCACCTGCTGTGAACGCTGTCAGCCAGGGGATGCTCTTCCTACAGTTGTGTCCAGATGGGGAGGTGGGTGTGGACAGCGAGCAGCCCCTGCCTGGACCCACCTCCTGTGACTGCGTGTCTCCACCTGATTTGAAAAATGCCTTCCTCCCGTTAAAAAAAAAAAGTTTAATGAACTTAAAGTTCCACATGCCTGGGACAGCCTCACAATCCTGGTGGAAGGTGAATGTCTCATGGCAGCAGATGAGAGAAGAGAGCTTGTGCAAGGAAACTCCTGTCTTTAAAACCATCAGATCTCATGAGACTCACTATCATGAGAACAGCACAAGAAAGACCCGCCCCCATAATTCAATTACCTCCCATCAGGTTCCTCCCTCCACACGTGGGAATTGTGGGAGTTACAATTCAGGATGAGATTTGGGTGGGGACACAGATAAACCATATTGGAAGCCAATTGGCACATTCAGAATTCTGCCTGGAAACCTGCTTAGCCAGTTCCACAGACTCCTTAGGTATATTTTTTATCTTTATATTCTTGCACATAATAGTTTTGTCAAATGTTTCCCCACTATTTAATATTGGGCATTCTTCTCCAGTCTCCAATAATAATTTGCTTATTGCTCTTCTAACCTCCATAAATAGTCCCGTTGTTCTTCCAGTTTTTACCTTTAGTTCAGGGGCTGGCTGGGTCTCTTTCTCCATCCCTCCATAGTGTTTCATGCTTCAGAGGTTTTTTTTCTCTCCATGTAGCCACTCTCTCCAGGACAATAAGTGAACTTCCTTACATAGCAGCTGTTTTTCCCTCTGATCAAAAGCAGAGGCTATGTGACCATTGTAGGACTGGACCTAAAAGTCCTAGAATGTCATGTCTGCTGCATTCTACTGGTCAAAGCAAGTCCCAAGGTCAGACCAGATAAGAGTTTACCCTAATCTCTTGATTAGAGAAGCCACAAGTGAATATAATATGCAAAAAACTCTACAGTGGGTTGAATAGCGGCCCCTAAATAAATGCTTATGTCCTAATTACCAGAACCTGTGAATGTCACCTTACTTGGAAAGGGGTCTTTGCAAATGCAACTAAGTTAAAGGTCTTGAGATGAGGATATCATCCTGTCTTATCCAGGAGGGCCCTCATTCAATGACAAGTGTTCCTATAAAAGATACACAAAGCAGAGGCATACAAACGGAAGGAAAAACCATGTGAAGATTGAGGCATATGCAGTCACAAGCCAAGGAAAGCTGGCAGCTGTCAGATGCTGGAAGAGACAAGGAACAGAATCTCTTTTAGAGCCTCTGAAGGAAGCATTGATATCTTGATTTTGGACTTCTGGACTTGAACTGTGAGAGAATCAATTTGTGTTGTTTTAAGTCACCATGTTTGCAGTATTTGGTTATGGCAGTCACAGGAAACTAATATAGCACCTATATTTGAAGTAAATCTAATACATTATGCTTATATTATTTTTAATGTTCAGATACACAACATAAATAAGCTTTAAAAATTTGCTTCAGTCTACATAGATCAGATATATAGTATTTATTAATAATTTTAAGAAAAAATTTATTTTTGAAAATAATTTTTGAATAGACTGATTTTATAGGATAATGAATATAAGAAAAATAATTTCCATTTCATAAATAGTTTTCAAAACTATAAATGTTGTCCCATTGTAGATTTTAAATTGCATACTTACTATTCAAATAATTGTCTAATGCATTGCTTTCTGCAATGATGGAAATGCCCTATCCCTGCCCAATGTTGTAGCCACTAGACATGTGAATATTGAGAACTTGAAATACGATTTATGAGAGATTAAGTTTCAAATTTTATTTCATTCATTTACTTTAAATTTAGCCAAATGTGACTAGTGGCTACCATACTGGACAAGTGCTGGTCCAACAAATCCTTTTACAAGTTAGGTAGTAGTATCTCTTTTCTTTTAACAGAATTGAAGAGGAACATAATTATATTGGCCACTGATGGACTGAATTAGTCACAGCAACCACCCATGGCCACATGGCAAGAAACACATGGCATGCATTAGGTTAAAAGGTCAAGAAATGTGTAATAAATAAACTATTTACAAATGTGAGCAAGATATAAAGAAACCAAAGATAATGTAATACCCTGAGAATAGTAGCAAGAAGGTTGTCAATATCTTTGGGCCTAAAGGGATAAAAGGTAGCATTCACTAGGAGATAGTATAGACAGGGTTACCTTGAAAGGAGAGGTAATTTTTCAGGGAAGGAGCTGGGAGAATAAATAGCCTTGTCTTCTGTTCTTCTAATCTCCTGCCAAGAAGTACTCATTGGTAAAATCCAGATGGAAGCAAGAACGCAAGCATGCTGATACAGTCCACACAGGTCAGCCTCCAGGTAGAAAGTAAGATAAAAAGAGAATGGTATAGATCTAGAAGGATAAATAGAAGATACCCAACAAGTAGAAAATTAAAATAGAATTATTATTTATTATAATGTAGTTTGGGCTGATCTAATTAAGCTGATGTTTTCAGAAGTGAGCGACATTGTTGTAATTAAACTTTTTATATTTTGTTAACTTATTTATATAAATGAGATTTCCACAGTTTGAGCCCTGTCTCATTTTAGCAATAAGTGATTCATCCAAAGGTACATCAACTGAAAGAAAGGGAATGCTCCATTTATTTCAGATGTTTCCAAAAAACATGATAAAAAAGTCTGCCCCTCCACAAAAGCAGTGCATAAGGTGGCACAACTGTCAGAATCAACTTTTTCAGAACCCTGGAATGTAATCAAAAGCTTACAACAACCAGGGGAACACTTAATCAAGAAAAAGCAGCCAAATCTCAGCATATGTCCTAGCAATTCCACTCCTGGGTATACACCCAAGAGAACTGAAAACATATGTTCATATAAAAATTTGTACATGGAACATTCATAGCAGCATTATTAATAATAAATAAAAGTGGAAACGACCCAAATGTCCATCAACTGATGAATGGATAAACAAAATTTGGTATAACTATACAATGACTATTATTCAGCCATTAAAGGAAATGAAGTATTGATATGTGCAAAAGCATGGATGAACCTCAAAAACATTATGCTAAGTGTAAGAAACCAGTCACGAAATCCCACGTTATATGATTCCATTTATATGAAATGTCTAGAATAGGGAATTCCACAGAGACAGAAAGCAGATTAGTGGTTGCCAAGGGATGGGAGATGAAGGGAATGGGAATGACTGCTTAATAAATAAGGGGTTTCTTTAGGGATGATAAAAATACTTTGGAACTAGATAGAGGTGAAGGTTTCACAATATTGTGAATGCACTAAAAGCCACTGAACCATACACTTTAAAATGGTGAATTTTATGTTATGTGAATTTTACCTCAATTTTAAAAACTGTGGTATTTAGATTCCATTGGATACATTAATAGTGTGATAGATTTTTATTTGAAAATTCAGAATTTTCAATATTCTTGAAGTTGCTATTTTTATAACAAATCTAGAATGAAAAAATTTAGATATGACTTCAAAAATGTGTGGCAGGGTAGGTTGAATCCAATAAGGCTGGTGATATTTGACTGTTTTAACCTATAAAATGACATTTTATATGATTCCATTGTTTTTCAAATGTTCTAGAAGGTGTATGAGCAAATAAGTAGATCACTATGTAAAGGACTGGAGAAAGAAGATAAACTTAGCACCTGCTAACCTGGGGGAAAGTGAGCTTCAGGTGAGTAAGAATTTTCAGAGAGGGAATGGAAGCATGAGGAGTGTGTGATGGCAGGCAGCACAGGAGCGCCCCAGCCCTGGGCCTGCAGCTTGCCTTCCAATGCTCCACCACTTACTTGCTATGGTGTATCAGACAAGTTCATTACCTTGGTGCATTGTACAGATGATACTAGTACTTACCACATACGGTTGTTCTGAGGATTAAATGACCTAATATAAGTATAGTATAAAAAGAGTGTAAAACAATACTAGTAAATACACGCTGCATTAGCGGGCCATTGCAACAATAATACTGCTAACAAACAAGCAAAAAATTTCAATGTTATACAACAATAAGCATTTATTTCTCACTTTGTACCTGTAGATTGGTTAGACTTGCCTCAGGCTGCAGGTTGGGACCAGGTCTGCCACAAGAGTCGCTCATCTTCCTTGGACCAGCAGTTAATCAAGGAACGTTCTTCTCATGGCAAAAGGTAGGAATACAAGGAAATGTTAACTTCCCTTTTGAAGTAAGGCTTTTTTCTTAAGTTTTTTATTTCCTTTTGTTTTGCATATTCTTCTAAATCTTGTATTTTTATTGGAATTTCAATAGAGAAAACATTACTATCCATTAAACATTCCTTGGTTGTGAAGCAATTTCATGCTTCAGTCAAAAACACTGGTGTGTCTCATTCTTTGAAACAGTCATCTTCCCTTCTGCACCAAACGAGCTACATGAATCCCATACAACATTGATAAAGAGAGATGGAGAAAAATCATTTCCTTGGATTCTGAATTCATTTTGATTATAATTTTCTCTCCTCTTCTTTTGACAAGCCAGTCTTATGTGCTGTTGAAGTAATTTTGTAGCATCTACTAAAGAGAAATAATTTGGAAAACACATCACATGTGCTAGCTGAGAGATATATCTTGTTGTCGGGCAGGTGAAGCAGGATTCAAGGGGAATTTGCATCTCTTCCCATAGTTTGGCCTGTATGTTTTATTATCAGAAACCAAAAATGTTTTAATTCACCTTCTGTTTTCTGGTGAGTAAACAAAGGAAGATGTTTTGATAAAGAGACTTAATGGGAGAAGTTAATGTATTATACCTTTGCAGATAACTCAACTGTATAAGCCTAAGGAAATACACTTATCAATTCTTAAGTTTAGAATGACTGTTTAGCTTGTCATTCTGATAATAAATAAAATTAACACTTTTTTTCCACATAGTAGTGCTGTAAATTACATGCAAAGTTATCATATGTGCCTGGCCAGGATGAAAACACCTTGAGATCAAGTCTTTACTATAATACTAATGTGTGGATGGTAGAGTCCTTTTGGCTAAAAAGCAAGAGAGCAGCTTTCTTAGAAGCACATAATGTGGCTCCCAAACACTAAAACTTGTTTCTGGGTTGCAATTCAAATCGGCAAAGACTGAGTGTGAATAATACACTTGATTTTGTTGACACCTGTTATTTTATTTTATTTCTGGTTACAGACAGGTTCTTGTTCTGTCACCCAGGTTGTAGTGTAGTGGCAAGATCACAGCTCACTGTAGTCTCAACCTCCTGGGCTCAAGCAATCATCTCTCCTCAGCCTCCCAAATAGCTGGGACTATAGGTGTGCACTACCACACCTAGCTTTTTAAAAAAAATTAAAAAAAAAAAATTTGTAGAGATGGGACCTCACTATGTCGCCTAGGCTGATCTTGAGCTCCTGGACTCAAGCAATCCTCTGGCCTCAGCCTCAGCCTCCCAAAGGGCTGGAATTACAGACATGAGCCACTGCACCTGACCTCCCAGCCATTCTTTTTAATTTCCGTTTAAATGTTTTACATTGTGATTATATTTTCTTAGAGTGAGGGAGCTTTAGCCTAGCCCCAAGATGGAAGGTGTAATCTCACAGGAAGTCCTAGCTACTCGTCTGCCCCCTGAAGTTCAACTAAAAGTGATTATGTGCTTTTGATCACACATTTGATTTTCAGTCTTAAGGAATGTGTATGTGGGCACTATGCAACCATTCATCATGATACCAATAGGATGGGGGTGAGAGAACTTCCAGGCAGAAAAGGATCCCTGGTGAAGCCCTACTCTCAAGCCGAAAAGCCTGAGACTGCAGCCCAAAGCGAGAATTTATATCCCCATTTTTCTGCTGGAATACTGCCTTTTCCTAAACCACTCCTGGCCCTGCCCTGCCCCATTGTGTACCTCTAAAGACCCCAGTCGCAGCTCACAGAGAGGAGAAGCAGCTAGATGTCAGGGACTATGGCTGGACATCAGAGAGAAGTGGCTTGACTTCAGAGGGACAGCTTGAAAGTGTAATTTCGGAGAAGAATCCAGCTAGAGATGGCTGGTCTTGAGGGGAAGATTACCTACCCGTCCCATCCCCTTTTCAGCTCTTTCCCACTGAGGGCCACTTCCATCAGCAATAAAAT